AAAGAAGGGTGTCGAGAATTGACGCTCCCTCCTAATAACAATGTCTCAAGTCTACCATCTCAACTATACTTTTTACATACTCCGAAAAGTCAAAATTACAAAATTATACTCTATTCAATAATTTAAACTCGAATTTTCAGTTATACATAGCACAGTTCCGCTGAGGAAATCAAATTAAGACAAAAAACAAATCAAAAGTATTGCGAAGGAACAATTTTAATTCGCTTTTTGTCTAGAAGAACTGAGTATAAAAAAATTATTTTGATTTTTAATTTAAAAATAATCCAATCAGGAAATTGTTCTAATTACATGCAATTTGAAAATAAATGAAACATCATCACTAATAATCAAGCTTTAATTTCATATGATTATTTTCATTATTAAACACAGAAATAGAAGTAGTATTATGCAAACCAGGACTAATTGATTCAGGCCGTTTCCTCTTTATCTTCCCCGCAACAAATGTATAATTATCATGGTGAATTTTTCTCCTTCCCATATAATTCGTATTGTTTGGGACAGAAGCATACACACACTAACGAAAAAAAAAAAAATACCGATAACGATCTTATTCGATTTGAATAATAAGCGCTTCGCTGAAAACCACTTTAATTTCACAATAGATAGCGCAAACTAACTCCGACGTAATCTCAGGTGTACATATACATACAAACCTACCAGCAGTTTATATAGTGATTATGCAACTGTGGTGGAACTTGTTTAACACGCTAGATGTGCATCTACCAAGATATATAATATAATACCAACGCTAACCTAATTTTATGCAGTAAATCTATGCAATGTTACTTGTTATTCCAAGAATTGTTTATATACAAAAAGAAAGAATTTAATTTGTTTAAAAAAAAAAAATTTTAAATTAACTCAAATATTCCTTACTATGATTTGACTTGCTGATTTCCAATTTGCTTCATTATTTAAGTTAATGATTATTAGAAATTAAACTTTGAAATTGGAAATTGTCAAATAGAATTAAATTGAATCATGAAAACTTTTCGATGGAAATTTTTTGATTTCAGTTTTATAGGTTCTTTTGTAAATAGTACAATTTAGAAAAATACAATTGGTTACAAGAGTGCGATGTGTTAAATTTACGCTTCATTGAATCGATGATTCGCGTTTAATTAGATTTTCCTTTTTTCCCTCAAATTCAATGTACGAGAGCTTAGTCACGTTTTCAATGCTTAAAGCTTTGCGCACATTCACTGTAAAGCTATTATTCCATACAACAATGAGATAAAAAAAATTTAATTTCTTTTTATTCGGTTTGATTCAATTTTAATTTGTTTCGTTGAATTATGCCGGTTAATGGTTAAATGTAATTAGTAAAAGTATTTATTGCCCACGTGGGATATTTATGTGAGAAAAAAATTGGAATGATTGAAGGAAAATATTTATTAGTGTGGAATGTATGATCTTTAATCGAACTTAACTTATAAGCTGTATTGCCATTTAAATAAATTGCGATTTAAACAAAATTTAATTTTTTGAAATTTAATTACTTATAAAAATTTACACTGCAGTGCTTACAAAATTTAATTTTTTGAAATTTAATTACTTATAAAAATTTACACTGCAGTGCTTCTAATATTAAAATATTTTCTAATATATTAATATTTCAAATTTTATAACTGAAATTCAATTTTAAATCCATTCTTATTAGAAGGTTTCACGAGAATTCAATTATCTAAATAGGAAAATAATGAATTTAATAAGTAATTGAATATTTTATCAAATTGAATTATTATAAAGAACTTTATCAAAATTTTATAAAATAATTGAATTCTTGCGACGATTTGCATTAAATTTTTTTTTTAAATAATTGAATTCTTTTAAGAAATTTCATTAAAATATACTAAATATGGAAAATAATTGAATTTCGACAAATTTTTGAAATTAATAAAATTTCTACGAAGAAGGTTTTAACATTTTTTTTAAATAATTCAATTTTTTCAAGAAATTCAATTAAAAATGTATGGAAAATAATTATTAAATTCTAATAAACAAATTATATCAAGATTTTTTTTTAATAATACAATTACTTTGAAGAATTTTAATAAAATTTTTAAGAATAATTGCATTTTACGAGAAATTTATTTCAAATTATATTAAAAATAATTGAAATTCTGCGAATGAGTTTTATTACTTTTGTGAAAATAATTGAATTTTTGCAACGATTTGTATTACATTTTTTTAAAATAATTGAATTTCTGAAAAGAATTTTGTTACTTATGAAAATAATTGAATTTTATGAAAATTGTGTTTTAAATAATTGAATTCCTTTGAAGAGTTTTAATAAGACTTTTAAAAATAATTGCATTTGTCGAGAAATTATTTTTAAAAGTCTTATTAAAAATAATTACAATTTATTCTGCGAATGAATTTTATTAGTTGTGAAAATAATTGAATTTTGCAACGAATATTATTAAAATTTTTAAAAATAATTTAATTTCTGAGAAGAATTTTATTATTTATAAAAATAAATGAATTTTTTTTAAGAATTCAATTGAAATTTTTCAAAACAATTGAATTCCTAACAAAAATTTTATTATTTATAAAAATATAATTGAATTTTATAAAAATTGTGTTTTAAATAATTGAATTCCTTTGAAGAATTTCATTATTCATAAAAATAATTGAATTTCTGAGAAGAATTTTATTATTCGTAAAAATAATTGAATTTTATGAAAATTGTGTTATAAATAATTGAATTTTTTTTGAAATTTTTGTTATTCATAAAAATAATTGAATTTCTGCAAAGAATTTTATTAAATTTTTTAAAATTAATTTAATTTCTGAGAAGAATTTTATTATTTATAAAAATAATTGAATTCCTGCGAGAAGAATTTTATCATTCATAAAAATAATTGAATTTCTGCAAAGAATTTTATTTTAAATTTTTTTAATAATTTAATTCCTGAGACGAATTTTACTATATTCATAAAAATCATTGAATTTTTTTATGAAAATTGTGTTATAAATAATTGAATTTTTATGAAAATTTTATTATTGATGAAAATAATTGAATGTTTGCAAAGAATTTTATAAATTTCTTTCTAAATTATTGAATTCTTTGAGAAATTTTTTATTAAAATTGTATATGGAAAATAATTGAATTTCCAAAAGTTTTAAATAATTGAATTCCTTTGAAGAATTTTAATAAGATTTTTATAAATAATTGCATTTTTCGAAAAATTATTTTCAAATTATATTAAAAATAATTGGAATTCAGCGAATTAGAATTATTAGTTATGAAAATAATTGAATTTTACAACGAATTGTATTACAATTTTTAAAAATAATTGTATTTTATGAAAACTGAGTTTTAAATAATTGAATTCTTATGAAAATTTTATTACCGATGATAATAATTGACTGTTGGAAAAGAATTTTATTAAATTCTTTTTAAATAATTGAATTTAAGAAATTTTTTATTAAAATTGTAGATATTGAAAATAATTGAATTTCGAAACATTTTTGAAAATAGTTGAATTTTTTGTAAGAATTCTATTGAAATTTTTGAGAATTATTGATAATTTTCTTATTCCAACTATTAGCGGATTTGAAGCAATGCAAATTCGCAATTAACAATAAAAAATAGTAGCTTTTAGTGTCCCAAAATGGAACATAGTTGTTCTAAGGATATCAAATTGAGACAAAAAACGAATCAAAAGTGTTGCGAAGCAACATTTTTGCTTCATTTTTTGTCTCAATTTGATATTCTGAGAAAAAAGTATCCAAATATTAGCAAATCGTAAAAAAAAGGTTTTAGTAGATGAGTACGAAGCCTGAAAAAAATGAAAACATCGATTCCTAATTTCTCTACTAAAAACAACTTCCTAAACAACAAAACTATGAACCTTAATTGGCGAAAAATTAGTGACTAGAAAATCGACAAGTTTCTCAAATAAATTCTTCATGAAAAAGAGATTCCGCATGAGTCGATCTTGATCGTTGAGAGAAGAGTGGATTGTGATTCGATCGACTTTCACGACGGGACTACTAATTACGACGTTGATTGCCTCCCCTCTTTTCGAAGGGCCTCTTTTTGGACATGTTTAATTCCAAGGAAGGACATAAAGAAGCAACAAGGCGCCCTCGTGCTTTCAGTCGTTCAAAAAAAAAAAAAAGTTAAATTAATTCCTCAATCCAGACAACTCTTTTATTTTCGTCTAGCGGCCCATCGAGAGAAAGAGCAGAGAGTATGAGCAGCTGCTTCTCAGAAGGATCTTCCTCTCTCAGTCGGTAATCTCGCGCAGAGAGAGAGAGAGCGGCGGTAAAACCATTCCTTATTTCTATCCTTTTTATTATTTTACTGATTTCTGCCCACCGGCGGTTATCCTCCGAGTTGCAATTCGTCTGCGCCTTTATGTCTTCGAATTATATAGACACGATCGCAATTATTCCATTGGATCGATCGATTTTAACTGCCTTACGATTCAAAAACCAACTCTGTAATTCAATCTCGATGCTAAGCTGATTATTACCTGGGCATTTAATATTAAACCGAGGGTTGCATTTTTCTAAAATCAAATTTCCATTTATAATATTCCCCTTTTTGTATAAACAAAAAAAAAGAGCTCTTATTTTTTCCAAAGCAAAAAATTGCTTTATAAATACAAAAAAACTCGCTAATCACTATTCCAGGATTAAAAGATATGCATATATAGCTTTAATGCAATCTGATCTGATTTCCAGTGACTCTTGTCGAGGTGATTGCCTCGCGAGTAATGTCACTTTCCACAAACGTTATCTCTCATGCTGAGGTTAGAATTTCTTATCATCACTGATATAATTCGTGTCAATATTTTACTTCATCAATTCGAAGAATTTCAACGTTTCCCTAAAGCGTGAAAATAAACAGGGAAAAAATCACCGAAAAAAAATTATAAAGAAAATCCATTAAAACAAAACTCATAATGTAGAATATTTCTTTATTTCTCTATTCTAGATCGTATTTCCATTTTTACAAAAATGTACATTGTTGAAGAAAATTGAAAAAATAAATTGAAAACAAAATTGAAGAATAATTGGAAAAAAATACATTTTTTTCTCTAAATAATATAACAAATAATTAATGATTATTTTTTTCAAAATAAATTCTAAGTAAAGAGATTTTTGAAGACATTCGGCAATCGAGACGCACAAACCGCTGCTTTGTAAATAGGCCACTTTTGAAAGCAATGCAAAGTTCATTCAGAGGTTAAAAGAGTCAACAATGAGTACGAGAATATAATAATTCATATTCCGTTGTTTGTCTAGCAGTGGAATGTATAAACCAAAGAATGCAATTTAGAAATTATTGCAAAAATGAAAAAGAGAATTTAACTCAAAAATAAAAAAAGAGAATTTAATTTAAAAATACAAAAAAATTACTGCACTTGATAAATTTCTCATTTCTTATCAGCGGATATAATAAGATTCATAATATCCATTCGAACTTTCATTTTATTTGAAACTTTTCTCAAGCTGGGTAGAATGCTCATGACAAAATGATAATCATCGTCCTCAACGATATCACTCGGTTTTTGCTTTATTGGTGACATATCCTCTGGTTCTAATTTAATTTCAGCAATTTTCGCCGTTCTCTTTCTACTGGGCTCATTTTCGGTGCAAACGTACGCCATTGGATCGGAGAGAATGGAAAGTTTTCTTGGTACAATTTGAAAATTTCCAAATGTATAAGGAATATCATTGACTGCAATTTGTGTATCCTTTTCAGGTGAGGGCGATTGCTTTGAGAGGAAGGTGTCAGTCTCTTCAATCATTTCCTCAATGATCTCATCGTCCTCTGTCTCGTCGATGAAACTTTTTCTTGCATCCATTGTGTCTTTGAGAAATAGCATCTTATCGAAATACGGCCATTTTGATACGTATGGTTCAGATTCGGTGGAGAGTTTCAGAATTTTTCTCATTTCCCTCCTGAATGTGTCTCGTACACAGGCCCATTTTTTCTTTAATTCCTCATCTAAAAATGTAATTTTTTTTTATCAATTTTCGTATTTTATTTTTCCATTAAATTAATTAAACGCAGTAAATTGAATTAAAAATGGAAGAATTGTCGAAAAATGGAATGACGAACAGTTTTATAAACTTTTCTTTAAATTTATTTTTAAATAATTTGTTTAAATTAACAGGGTGGTCACAATTTTCAGTTTATCAATAATTTCTCTGCCATTTCATAGACAATTTACTAACAATAAAATTATTTTCCCTGACAAAATTATTTTTACATGAAAAATGATGTAATGAGTAAAATTTATGAATTTTAATAATTTCTAAAAGTTATAATTATAACGTGAATTCAATTATTTTCTACAATTTTCAATAAATATATTTTCAATAAATATATTTTTTAAAATTAAAATATTTTCAAAAAATTAATAGAAAAATTCTTACAATTAATTTTTCTAAAAATATTTTTCAATAATATTTGAAAGCTAGTTTTTTGAATATAATTGAATTTCTAAGAATTTTTGAATAATTTAAAAAAATTAATTTTTTGATGAATTTTAATTAAAAGTTTTTAACATGATTTTTTTCTCCAAAATGTTAAAAATAATTCTAAAATATTATTTTTTGTGTGCATTTGAATTTTCGGAAATATGTATCTGAAAATATTGTATTTTAAAAAAATTAGAAGCTAATTTTCATTTATTTTCGTTTTTAAATTTTATACATTTAAAGATTTTTCATTAACATTTTTAATAATTCAATTATTTTCAAAATTTTCAATTAAAATTCTGAAAAAGTTGCTTCTCCAAAATTCTAACAAAATACATGAAAAGAATTAATTATTTTCAATTAAATTTTAGAAAATTTCAATTAATTCAAAAAGATTTTTATTACAGATATATTTGAAAAATTTAGGTAGTTATATCTTAAAAAAAGTGATTGAAAAATAATTTTTGAAATATTTGTTTATATTTATTTTTCGCAGTTTAAAAATCGATATAAGTTGCATTTTATACTAAAAAATGTTGTTTTGTTGCAATATTTGAAAATAAGTCGAAAAAAATCTTAATTTCCCTGACAACAATTTTTTTTCGTCATTTCCCTAACTTCACTGATAAAAATTTTGTTTTTCCGACATTTCCCTGACTTTACTGACATGTGGCCACCCATTTTTTAAATTAAAAATATTTAATTATTTTAATTAATTTAAAAAAATAAATAAAATATTTAGCGTATAGTTTTGTAATTTCTTTTGTTGTCTTTAATGTATATTTATACCTCACTTTCTACAAATATAAACAAATATTATTTGTTTACATTCCAGTACACTTTAAAACATGTCAGAAGTCACTTTTTCAACGTTGGAATTTGTAAGTTTAAAACGTTTAAAATTTTTGCAAATTGCTGCAATAAATAAGGTTATGTTACCTCCTCCGACATTCTAAATAATCTAAATATTCTAAACACTGTAAACTCACAGAATGTGACGCATATTCTAAAGAGTAAAATTCAGTAACAAGTGTTTTCGACTCTGACATTATTTTACGTGCAAACACCAAATTATTTTAACTTGAAACAGAAAATTAAAAACCATTTATCAATAAAAATTCACAGTACACTTTCAGTAGAAATATTACTCGACAGTGACAAATTTTTCCCACAATTACTTTCAACAGATTTTGATAAAACAATAAAGTAAACGAAAAATATTTTTCAATTCTTCCATAAGTAATTTACAATTTTCACGAATTTCCCCGACTTTCCTCACTGAGGAATATTAAAATTGAGGTTATGTTGATAAAATCAAAAGAGAATGTACTTGAGAAAAGCAATTCTACACTGTAATGTTTCATAATGGCTTACCCGTCATACGAAACTCGGTGGCTAGTTCAATCCAAGCTTGTTGCTTTTGCAGACCACTACGATAATCTACATGCTTGTGATTCCAGATAATGGGCCGTTCATACATCATACGTATAAGCTTATCCTTGTTGATTGACATTTTTGATATTCAAATTTCCTTATAATTCACTTTTTTCAACAATATAAACTGATTTTTATCTCTCTATAGTTTCAGGAATATTTGTTTCGCGGCGTCTATTTTCTGACACGTATACCGTGAAAGAATTTACGTCAGAACGTTTTCTACTGTGGCGTTTGGCGTCGTTGAAGCCAGGATCCGTATGCGAGCCGACGCAATCCGAATGTCTACGGCTAGACCCGACGTTTTACGGTCTCGTTCGAGAAGCCTCGAGTTGTCCCGAATCACGTGTACATCCACAGCAGACAACAAACGGGTTATAATATTATGCGTTACAGACAGAATTCTCTCTCTTACGTTCTTACGGAAGTTTACATATTCATTGATTGCATTCTCGATCATGTAAATTATTATGAAAAAAATATTTATATATTTACCACTTATTTAGCAGAGAAAAAAACTAGTTTTACTCTCCATTTCTAGTTATTTAAATCAATGACTGACTTTTTGCACTTTAAAAATTACCAACTAAAAAAAGTTATAACTTTTTTTAGTAAACATAATTTTTTTCTTCTGGTAAATTAGTAAATTTCAACTATAATTTTGAAAGCAAAACGTCACTGATTCAAAACTTTAAAATTTTTATTTATTAATAACTAATAATTCAGATTTAGAAAGTATATGCTTTTGATAGAATACTAAAAGGGTAATATTGCAAATAAATACTGTTTTGTATTTCTCTTTATTCTTTTGCTATTAAGTGGAACCTATTAAAGGTGTATAGCTATCGTTCAGAAGTAGATTATTAATTTATTGATTCAAGTGAAAATTTAATGAAGCAATGATTATTTACATTTGTTCGATGCTTCTCTTGGGGGTTTACACAAGAAAGTAAAACAGCTGCCTTTGGATGAAAATTTTCCGAAATCTTTTTAATTTTCTATCGTTAATAAAACACGGTTACAGTATAAGATTACTAAAATGCTGCAGTTAGATTTTTCATTCCAGAAGTTCATCAATAAACTTGCAAAAAATTAAATTATTTTCAAAAGTAATAGAATTCTTTGCCAAAAATTCAATTATTTTTAATACAACTTTAATAACATTATTTTCATGAAAGAATTGAATTTTTAAAAAAATTCTTAATAACATTTTTTGAAAAAATTCAATTATTTTCTGAAATTTTAATAAATCCTTCGAAACAATTCAATTGTTTTTATAAATAGTAAAATTCATTGCAAAAATTACATTATTTTTTATAAAATTCAATTATTTTCTAAAAATTTTAATAAAATTCAAGAATTAAATAATTATAAAGAAAGACGATTATTGTAAAAACTTGAAAAAAATTGTTCATATAAAATTGAATTACTTTGAAAACTTTCAATTAAAATTATTAAAGAAACTTCATTATTTTAAAGAAACTCAAAGAAATTCTTCAAAAGAATTTAATTAAGATTATGAAAAATTTTAATAAAATTCTTCCAAAATTCAATTATTTTCATAAATAATAAAATTCTTTGAAGAAAGAAAAGAATTGAGTTATTTACAAATTTGTTGATAAAATTCTTTATGAGGATTCAATTTAATGAAACATTCAAATATTTAATAAGTTATTAATTTTTCTATTTAAATAATTGAATTCTAATTGAATTTTCTAATAAAAATTTATTAAAAAATGAATTTCAGTTAAAATCTTATGGATAATAATTGAATATTAAAAGTATTATAGCATGAATTTTTATAAATAATTGAATTCTGAAAAGGTTTCAAATTCAAATCTTTGATAATAAAAATTTTAACTAACAATTCTATGAAATTAATTTTTTTCAAAAGGTTTAATTGAAATTTTTTTGAAGATGTTATTTTTTAATAACAAAATTCTTATAATATGAAATAATAATTTTATTAATTTGCCATCTTTGATTATTATAAAACATGAAGAAAGCGATTACTCCGAGTCTTCGACTCGGAGTGATCGATATCTTCATGTTTTATAGTTATGAAAAATTTAATTTCTAGTTTTGAGTAAAATTTTGAGTTCTCTTATTTGACTCAGACTATGTTATATTTTTCTCAGTAATAATTGGTCCGTAAAGTCCGTATTTTTAAATACTTTCACTGATTCTAGCCTTGTGAACGGTTAAACGAGAATTTTACTGAACAAAATTATTTTAATCAAAATTCAGCTAAAAGCAAAAAATTATGCTTCTCCTCCAGGAAAAGTAATTCAAAACCTATTGTTTAGTTCCCCAAGCGAAAAGGCAAACAGTGAATCAAGATTCAACTTCAAAACAAGAAACCACGAAACCAAGAGACCAAGAGTCCAAGGTAGAGGAAAAATTGAAGAACTCACATATTTATATTTAGTCTTATTTATAAATCTAACGACAAAATTCATTCGAGTAGGCAATCGACTCATAAAAATAGAAAGCACATCTTTACATTGTCGTCATCAGTTCTGCACTCGTGGAGGGCATTCCTCTCGATCGCATAACCTAACCTTACCTAACACAACGTAATGCAGGATCGTATACAATATACATGCATATATATATATCTGGAACTTGAATCGCCTAAGAACCTCTCTCCCAACTTATTCGCTATAACGTCGACGTGGCGAATCGAAATTAATGCATCGCTTATATATCGTGGGTCGTTGACTGTTCCTAGAAATCTTACGGTACTCTATTAAAACACGAGTTGCGAGTAATGCAACTTTCGTGCTATAGGCGGAATTTGTTTGCATCCAGTGGCGGATATCGATTGGACTCGTTCCATTTATAACTTGGAAGCCAAGGTCTTCGGCTTTGAGGCCATCACGCTCTTTCTGTAATGCAAGAACCCACATTTCCTCACGCTTTTCATTTCCCGACATATAATTGTCAAATGAAATTCCGAAATTAATATTCATTCCGGATTCTCATATTGTATTCTCCAAAAAAAAAAATCGTGCAACAGAAAGAAACTTTTGAATCTTCGTTCAGATAACAAAAGAATACAATAAGTCTGCTTTCATCAAAATTAAAGCAGGGGGAAGGAATCTTCCATAGTTGCAAATGCTACCTTTCTAAAAAGATTCGAACACCGACTGAATTCAAGAAAAATTGGTTCTTAATACGATCAGAATAATTATTGTTTGGGTCTTTTTGTACACAAGTCTTATCTACACGAAAGTTGTCAAATTTCTTAGCCTTGCATTGAAGGTCAATTTTATTTCAGATACATCTTAAAATAAGATTTGATCTTTTTACTGAAAAATATTCTTACAAAAACGTTATGACAAATTTTTTGTTAATTTATTCAATTTTGTTTCAAAAGAAAAGTTTTGATACAATATAAAAGTACTAGATTTAAATATTTTATATTTATATTTATTATATTTGTATTAACAATTTTTTTTAGAAAAGTATGTGTTAAATTTACCATTCCCTACGATTAAACATATTTTTAAGTTCCACATTGAAAATAGTTATTTAAATTGATCTACAAAGCTATAAACATTCAACTCATCTCAAGGTTCTCGATATGATTTAAAAGCAAGTCAGTGAGTTTAATTATTAATGCCTTTTTCCATTTCTATACTTGATGGAAGTTTAAATTAATCTCGATCATTTATATTGCTGGCTCTTTCAATTCTTTAAATATTTTCATATCCCTTCTTCCTTTTCAACTCACTCAAGTCATTAGTAATAAAACTCCTGCTCGAGTGAATGACCTCTGAAATAAAATTGATCTTCACTGTGTGTTTCAATGCAATTTTTCTTCTATTGTTAAAAATATTTTTAAAAAAATGTTAATGAGTTCATTTTCACATCTAAAAAATAAACCGACTTCAGAATAATATGTAATCTTATGTTTGTAAACAAGAAAATATTTTCAGTTAACACACATTGTTGACTAAAACTGTTTTAAAAGAATCTTGTTTTATTCTTTTGTTTCGACAATAAATATTTTGCTTGTGAAAACAAATATTGAATAATATTTTATTCGGAATAGAAACAATTTAAAAAAATCAAAAATCCTAAATTGAAAGGAGAAAAATCGAACTATTGGATCAAAAGTGAGGACTAACTATAAACAATACGAATAACCAAGATGAAAAAAATTTGTTCTCAAGGAAAGGTAAACTTTAAAAGACTTTTCGTTTCCCTGCCTTGGAAATATTTATACAAAAGATCGTGTATACTCTTTTGCAAAAGGAAGAGGAATTATTACTCTCGTGTGGTCCTCTTTCTTTGCACTCTCAACTACATGTTTCTGTGAAATCCACTTCATCATCTCTCTTTTCTCTTGGAATTACCGTAAAATAAGCATCAGTGTTCCGCTTCTCAAACTTCCAACTTATTTGCAAATTTGTGCTAATACAAAAGCTGTAGATTTTAAATACTCTTTTCTTTCTCCAAATAAAATTATATATATTATTTTTAAAATAATTTACACATGAAAATAGTGACTTAAATTTGAATAAATAAAGGTTCAACTTTTTTTTCAAAATTTCATACCCGAAAGGACTATTATTACAGAGAAATTTCTCTTTATTTTAATAACTGATTTTTGAGATTCTTAGAAGAATAGTCAAAGAGAACAGCTGTGTGTAAAGCACATCTGTAGAAAAAGGAATATGAACAACAAATATATTTCCTCTTGTTGGAAATCACTTTATCATTTATGTGAGAATATGTAAAGCAATCTGTGAATGAATTTCATTGTTTCAATCGAAATAAAAGAATGATTGTTTAAATATGAAACGCAGGAAATTAACTGAGAAGATAATTCACTTCTTATTTACCAAGAACAATGAAAAATGCTACAATATTTCTCAAAATAGATATTAAAAGTTTTTCTCAAAAAAGAATTTTTCAGATTTCTGATTTTCAAAACAAAAGAATTTTTTATTCATGACAATAGAGAATTTTTGACAAGTGTAACATTTATATATAGGGCATTTGTTTACAAAATGCCATTGTTTGTGATACACATGCGAGGCAACAAAACTGAGTCTTGTCAAACAAATATCAGTCATATGAACCCAAATTTATAACTAAAATAATTTCTAAATTCACCTTTTATCTCTCCTTTAATTTTCCAGTTTCAGCTCCAATAAACAAAGGCAAAAAACACTGAGAAATATTCGATATAACGCGTATCCTCCATTTAAAGTTTGGTTTCGCGGATCCGCGAATTTTTTGTTTTAAATAGAATTCACA